ATAGCTGTATGAAATCTGTAAAGAATTCTATGTAAACAGCATTGGTATACTTATGGCTATTCATTTATTTTTATGAAGCAATTCTTGATCGTTTTCCTCAAGAATATAACATAATAAACCACAGATGTTTAAAAAAATTACTGGCCTCTATACATAGGTCCTAAACCCAGGCCAATTACTCTACCATCTAATTTAGCTGGCCTTCCTTTCATTGCTTCCATGAACATTTCTCTGAAATTGCTATTTAGAATAGCTTTATTTACATATGCATTTTATCTTAACTCTTTTTAATAAATCTATCAAAATTCTATAAAATCATGCTGAACATTTTGGTTGGGGGTTTTCAACAATCAACATTTAGAAACAGCCTGCTAGTCACTTACATCTTTTGCAAACTATGTAACAGTCAAAACAGGAAATTGAAATGGTGAGAGCATCTGTATCCAAATTTAGATACAGATTTGTGTTCAAATCTCTTTGCTTCCACTTTATTGTGATTTAAATTTTACAGTGTAACTACCATTCTACATAATTAGGAAAGAAATTCAGTGATTATGTAACTTAAGTATTAGTATGACAGCACCTTCTAGGGGTTTCTATCTCATAGTCAGTACCAAGCAGTAACTTACATGAAAAGAAGCATCTAATTTTACTTCAAGCTTACACTGTACTAAATAAGCTCTTAGTTCCAAACATTGTGTTTTAACTGATAAAAAGTTACAACTAGACATTCCTGAGAAAACATATTCAAAACCCAACTGGGTTTATTTTTTTAAGAAAATTACAGTTCCCCATGAAGGAGGTTCGGCATGAAATAGGAGTTACTTTGTAGTTGTTTTTGAAATGCTAAGAAGAAACAGTGTTGAGGAACCAGTTGCCAATATTTTACTTTACATAAATATCAGGCAATGTAAAAACATTATTAGTAAATCACACATAAACCTGCCCATCATACATGTTTTCATACTCTATTACATAAATATGCAAAATACAATTATATTTATATAGATTTAAAATAATGAGGCTAGACTGAATTCAAATTTAAGGTGATTTTAATTGAATGTATTATAAAATCTTATTATACATTTGTATATTTACATTTTTTGACAATTCTTAAAGGCATAAAATGGTATTTTACTCTGAAAAACAGCTTAGTTTTCTTTAAGAGCTTTTACTGTCACATCTAATTTGCTTTATTGATCGTATGAAGAGAAAGATTAGTTTTGTTGGCTTTAGTTTCTAAACTGATGGAAATATGGAAGAAAAAAGAGTTCTCTTACTCTAGGATGAAATAACTGGACAGGAAGAAATGTCAAGAGGGGAAAAAATGCCAGTGGCTGCTATTTAAGCTGCCAGAATGATTCGTCAGCTTTGTGTAGATCAAAGGGCTTTAGTTTTCTATACCAACATTGTCTTTAGACCAAGCTAATCATTAGATTAGATTAATCATTAGAGCTAAACTCTAATTCCTAGAGCTAGGTCTTCTTCAGACCTAGCTCTAGGAATAAGAGTGAAGTTTTAATTTTATTTCAAAGGAAAATTTTAAAATATGTTTGCCTGCAGACATTAACTTCTTGCCCACAGTCATCCTTCAGCTTTCTGATACAAGCTGTGGCTTAGTGTCCCAGAGCTAAATTAGACTGCTTCTCCTGTTCTCCCTGGCTCCCTCCCAGATCCTTTTCTGCCCATAGCCTGGCTCTAAGTGGTATTCTGGCTGAGTTTTGTAGGAAGCAGACCCACTTATCTCTAAAATATATGGACAATATGTGACTGTTAAAAGATAAACATGTCTTTTCTTTTGAGCTGCAAGTGCCAAGACCAAATCAGGTGACTCTAAACCAGCTATCAATCTTTGTTCTAAATTTAGGATTGAAATGAGATGTTTAAGGTAAAATGAGTGTATAAAAGGAGCTCAATTAGGCAGGACAATGAAGGATGGAGAAACTCTTTTCTCGTTTCTGTTTCTGCCCAATGCTCTCTTACTGGGAGCTGATTTTCTTGAGGGCATTAATTAGAAACAATGTATCAAGACACACTGAGTTGTTTAGGGAGATTACAAGTCTATTTTTACTGTTTTCTTAGAGCAGTTAAAATGAGATTTTCATATTTAGAAGTTTAGTAGTTGTGAGCTTCACAGGATTTCTTAAGGAAAAAAGATATTTTCTCCTGAAGTTTTGATACCTATTTCTCACCTATTTGATACCTATAAAATACCTGTAAAATTTGATTACAAATTAGTTCTTAAATCCAATGTTGAGAAGAATATCAAGGACAAAGATAATATCCCAGCTTCAAACAGAAGCACAAATTTTTATTTTAACTATAAATTTAAATCTTTGTCTCATTAAGTCTTCGGCAGGAATTGCCAAAGCAAAATGACTACTTTGAAAATATACATATATTTAATCATTCATTTATAGGAGGAGGAGTAAAATAACTATTGATAATGAAGTTAGCCCCTGAGTGATTTTCTCCAGTAAACTTAAGCTTACAAATTATTAGAATGAATGACTAGAGTATTTCTAGAGTTACAAAAATTTGCAGTGAAAGAAAATGTACAACCTCTACTCAACTATTTTTAAGTTATGACCAAAAATTATAAGCTTTTGAGAGTGGATCATCCTGATATTGTCTTGCTAGGTATCATAAAATAAAACACAGATTATAAACAAATAATGAAACATAAGATGGATATATAACACATACATGATTAATAATATATGGCAAATCAATGTAATACTCTCTGCTATTTATAACCATTTATATGTCATCATTTTTGTCTTCTCCTCACATAAATGCTCCATGAGGGAAGGGCTTTGTCTGTGTCTGCAGGGTCTGAAACAGGGACAGACTAAAGGTGCTCAGTAGATATTTATTGAATGAATAATTCATGTATGATGTTTAGTTCTCTTTGAACATTAAATTTTTCTAAGTCTGACTCCCTGGAGACTAGTCATGAGCCAGAATAACTTTGAATTCGTGGATTTGTTTTCTTAGGCTGAGATGGAAGTGTAGGTGCCACAGCTCTCAAACTGAGGAAAGACCAAAAGTAGGTAGGATTTGGGTGACTGTTTGGGAAGGCTGGAAAAGTCTGCTTACCTGTAGTCTCAATGTTCAGTCTTTCTCAGACCTCATCTATGAACAGTTTTCCCTCAATACAATTAAAGAGGTTTTTCTAGATAGTGCTCAGTTCAGTTTTGCTAGGGGTCTAATATAGTATAGTTAAAGTCAATTATATTTAAAATTCCTAGTGGTTATGAAATCACAATGTGCTCTGAGTTGAGATACTCCCATTGGAGCCACCTGCTTCTTCGTACAGTATACAGCCTTTGTGGACTGGCTGGCTTCTTTACTTAATAATATGATTTGTCTTTGCTTTTCATTATTCTAATTGGTCCATAAGCACATTCCAAGCTGTTGCTAATCACCTAGCAGAAGTTAACTAAATAAAAGACATTTTGTCTTATATGAAATAAAACCACAACTAGGACATGCCAGCAAATACTACATCTAGAACAGGAGTCATTTTTGCTCAGTTCTACTAGGGTTTCAAAATTCTTAATAAGCTCTGAATCTCTTCTATATGCTTATTGTCCATTGTTTTATCTACTACTCTGGTGTATTTTATTGTTTATGAAAACATTTTGGGATTCAAGTTAAAACACAAGATGCAGGCATGATACATCTCCTAAATCTCTTGAAATTGGCTCTTTTCTTGGACAGATCAATGTTAATGCAGGTATCTAGTTACACAATTCAGAATAATAGGGAGTAAAGTGTAGCATGTTTGTGCTATTGCTTGTTTATAGCTATCAATTATTCCTGTTTCTCTTCCTGGGTGCATCAAATACTGTTAGAGGAAAGGTCCCCTCTGCTCTAGCTAGCATGCAATTCTTCCCTCCCTTGAGGGAGATCATCATGTACCCCACAGCTCATTCAGTTGGATCACGGTAGCGTCATCTACAGCAAAGAATAATTTAACTCTTTTGTTGAAGGCAACAATAATGGCCCAGCACAGCAGAAATTATTCTTAGCATATCTTATTTAAAGACCAAAAGCAGGACTGGATGCTCATAGCTAAAATAAAATAGAGGTTTGGATAATTGATTTAGCTAAACCAGGGAAGTACTACCTCCAAATTTTTTCCTTGAATAAGCCAAACCTTTGTAAATATGCATGTTTCTTCATTTTTAGCATGTTGTTTGATTTCACAATTTAAAAAATTTTTTTTTGCTCTATTTGTAATTATTTCGATGAATATGTCACATCAATAAATGTCTTTTCATTCCAGTAGGATGCATGAAACTCTTTTGGATACCGTATCTACACGAGCCATACAAAATAGAGGAAATGCCATCATTAATTAACATTTACAGAGACTCCTATGGAGTCTAACATTTATGTGCTCCTCTATGAGGGTGGTCTGGCCTCTTGTATTTTTAGAGGCAAATTGGCTGCCTCAGTAACTGCTATTACTGCTATAAATTCTTGATTTTGTGTTGTCAGGCATGCCTTAATTGTTGCATGTGAATTTTCTCATTCCATCCTTATGACCATATTTTTAAGTGGTACAATTATTCTCATTTTACAGATGGGAAAGCTGAGGCACATATAGGTTAAATAATGTATTCAGGAAACCCGGAGAGTCATGTCTTAACTGGCATCCAAACACCAGTCCTTAGCCCATGCATATGCTATTTACTACCTCTCAACAACACAACAACACTTACATAAAAAGAGGCATACTATCACTCTATGGTAAATGTCTGTACATTATCACTTCTTGTCCCAATTTTCCACTGTACAGTGGATTTTGAAAGCAATTCTTTGGAAATTTTTCTTATCCTGGAAGACTTCTTATGGAGGATATTTGAAACTGTCCATCTTTCAATTTTAAAAAAAGCTATCAGTAGCTGCAACTTATTTAGGGATGCACTGAATTTATTTCTTTAAAGGTCATCATCACAGAAAAATACTTGCAACATGATTTTATTTTTTGATGACTTTTATTTTTAGATTCTATTACAATGTATAAGTCTCAAGTGTAACTATACTATAATTTATGACAAACATTTTGAGCATTCATAGCTGTATGAAATCTGTAAAGAATTCTATGTAAACAGCATTGGTATACTTATGGCTATTCATTTATTTTTATGAAGCAATTCTTGATCGTTTTCCTCAAGAATATAACATAATAAACCACAGATGTTTAAAAAAATTACTGGCCTCTATACATAGGTCCTAAACCCAGGCCAATTACTCTACCATCTAATTTAGCTGGCCTTCCTTTCATTGCTTCCATGAACATTTCTCTGAAATTGCTATTTAGAATAGCTTTATTTACATATGCATTTTATCTTAACTCTTTTTAATAAATCTATCAAAATTCTATAAAATCATGCTGAACATTTTGGTTGGGGGTTTTCAACAATCAACATTTAGAAACAGCCTGCTAGTCACTTACATCTTTTGCAAACTATGTAACAGTCAAAACAGGAAATTGAAATGGTGAGAGCATCTGTATCCAAATTTAGATACAGATTTGTGTTCAAATCTCTTTGCTTCCACTTTATTGTGATTTAAATTTTACAGTGTAACTACCATTCTACATAATTAGGAAAGAAATTCAGTGATTATGTAACTTAAGTATTAGTATGACAGCACCTTCTAGGGGTTTCTATCTCATAGTCAGTACCAAGCAGTAACTTACATGAAAAGAAGCATCTAATTTTACTTCAAGCTTACACTGTACTAAATAAGCTCTTAGTTCCAAACATTGTGTTTTAACTGATAAAAAGTTACAACTAGACATTCCTGAGAAAACATATTCAAAACCCAACTGGGTTTATTTTTTTAAGAAAATTACAGTTCCCCATGAAGGAGGTTCGGCATGAAATAGGAGTTACTTTGTAGTTGTTTTTGAAATGCTAAGAAGAAACAGTGTTGAGGAACCAGTTGCCAATATTTTACTTTACATAAATATCAGGCAATGTAAAAACATTATTAGTAAATCACACATAAACCTGCCCATCATACATGTTTTCATACTCTATTACATAAATATGCAAAATACAATTACATTTATATAGATTTAAAATAATGAGGCTAGACTGAATTCAAATTTAAGGTGATTTTAATTGAATGTATTATAAAATCTTACAAATGTGATATAGTTTGTATGGTTCCCTAATTAAACTGTCAAACCAGTTTTTAAGAGTCTTAGCAGGTATGTGATATAATGTTCTACATAGTCTAGGAAAACACTGCATGGTATCTCTCATAGCAAAGAAAAAAAAGAGGCTCAGATAATCTAAGATGAATGATTGAGCCTAAGTGTAAAGAATGGCTCTAGATTTAATTTCTATGTACCTTAGGATAAATGTCTAGAAATGATAATCTCCCTCATGGATGTCATAAAATACATCACAATTTTAAAATGTTCTAGTTTGGAAGTTCTGTTGAAAGGCCCCTTGTTTCAGTCTGTCTTTCTCAGATCTGTGTTTCTTAGTCTCTTCCTCTGTCTCTCATTCTCCACCCAAAACTCTTCATCTCTGTTAGTATATTTAAATCTCCTTTATTTTTAGCTAGCCAGAACAAGAAAAAACATATTTTAAGTACTTATTATAGAAATGCAATTTATGTTTTTTTAATTTAAAAAAGCAAATTAATGAAGTGTGTTCTATATATTTGCTTTGAGAACTCCCACACAGTCTTCTAAATAAAATGACTCCCTACTTACGTAACTCAATTTTTGCCCATGCACCAAGTCTGGGTTGAAAGGCTGCCATTTATTTTGACTTGAAGGCTTCCCACACACATTTAGGATGGTATACAAGTGGCACAGTCAATACTGTGCCCAAGTCATTATCTGCTCAAACATGTACTGTGGTACCAAACAGCCACCTGCATATCAGGAAGCTCTTCATTGAAGGGTAACGTCAACTTTGCTTAGTGCTGAAGAATGACGAAACAACACTGCATGAGACAGCAGAAAATTGAGACAAAACAGATTGAGTTGGGTCATTATTGGTGCTTTAGGGCAGCACAGTCCACTATTAGTGTATAAATAATGGTGGAGAAAGCTCTCTTCAGTTGCTTCTTTTCTCAATTTCTTCCCTTTCTTTTCTTTTGAAGAATGCGGTGTGCATGTAATTTTTCATGTTTATGGTTGTTGTATGAACAAAGAAAAATATTTAAGAAAGCAGGCTATCAAGCACAATACCCTGCAGGGAAGTCTTATCATGGTTGGTATATGAGTCAAGATGGATGACAACTATTTGTTGAGATGAATGTGCTACAATGTCTTTAATTCCATGGCATTTATAGGCACATAAAAATTGGTTCTGAAGCGATATAGAATAAATTTAAGCACCTCAAAATATAGAATGACTTCTGTACATGTATAAAATAATTTTGCTCCCTAATAACAAGGTATTTAACTAAACACTCTTTACTAATGTCAGTTCTTACTCTCAGGGCATTTCATCGCACAGCCAAGGCAAAATAGTTTTATAGATATTCAGATTATAGGTATTTGTGTGTGTGTGTGTGTGTGTGTGTGTGTGTGTGTGTGTGTGTGTGGTTTGTATTTGGAAGGGAAACATGAATGTTTACAATCCTGTGAAAATATGACAAGGAAGATGTGAACATTTTCTACCCGCTCCTCTGATTTATTACGAACAAATAAAATTAAATCACCATTCTTTGTTATAATCAATAATGCCTATAGAGTAACTTTCAGTTCTTACGGAATCATTTGCCAATGCAAAAATAGCCATCTGCTAGTGCTTTCCACCTACTTTAATCAGAGCTAGTGACTGCATTGACTTTGAGACTATTTTGAGAAAAATTTTTGGCAGAGACCTCCTTAAAAGAGTCTTACTAACACAAATGTATCATATCACCTTCATAGGCTGTAAACAATATATCAAAAACACAGCTCTATGTTTTGCTTTCCTTGCCATCTTTGTCTTTGTCTTCCTTTTCCGGTTTGTCTCTCTCATACTTCTCTCTGTCTGGCTTTGTCACACTATCATATGAAGGTGGAGAGATGGTAGAAGGGGTTGCATCTGTCTTTTCTGGACTTGAGTTCTCATTAGCATTATCAAAAACTGTATCTTTTTTATTAGGCAAATCATCATCTCTGTCTCCATCCTTTATGTATATACTTGATATATTTTTGACATTTTGCCGTAAGCGGTAACGTCGATAAGCTCGCTGAATGATAGTAGCAGACACGTCTTCCTGTTTGCGTTTAAGTGTAGTTGTTATGGGTTCATAGGAAACTTTAGAAGGATTTGCTGCCATGAAGCGCTCTTCCATCTGCGAACGAAGAGAGTCCATCTCTCCGCTTTCACCCAGAACCCGCTTTGTAAAGGCAAATAAGATGTCCAGGCAGTGGATCCGGTCCCCGCTGACCATGGGCAGGTCCATGGCGATGAGCTGGACTTTGTTTGGCTTTGC